CCTGTTTTGCTGGACCTGCATTTTCTGACAAATACCCTCCCGGAGCAAGATCTCTTCTTACTCTCTGGAAATGCCCTCTTTTTAAATCGGCTGTACGCTCCAAGGCCTCCTCGAGACCTGGAACGAAAAGGTTATCCCCTGAAAAGGGTAAGAAGCAAAGGCATAGTTTGTACACTGAGTCCCCTGCCCAGGTCTTCAACCATAATGCCCTTCTAGCTAAATTCACCAGGGCAGATGTTCTTGTGACTAGTTTGATTCTGCTGAGGCATCAGCGAGGAAACCTACCGCTCTAAACAGCAAAGGAAAGGACTTAAGTATTTGCTGTCTGGAGGTCCCTGCTGAAAGATGTGTTTGTAACTGGGTAAGCCAGCATTCCAGATTTCTGGCAACACAGGTGGCCAATAAAGCCGGTTTGAAGCTGATAGAGGTAGAATTCCAGGCCCTTCGGAGCAAAATCTCTCCTCTCTCATTCATAGGATCTCTTAGAGCCCCCAAATCTTCAAATGCTAGGTCCATTTTCTTAGAAACTTTAGATAAGGGGGCATCCAACTTTGGAACCTTGTTCCATGGCTGGGGTCAGTCTTCCTCAAACAGAAATCTCCTTTTAAGACTACCGGAGAAAAAAGGGCTCCCTTTCAAAGCTCTCCCATGCCAGCTTAATGGTGTCAACCAGGGAATTATGGACTGGAAAGACCCTAGCCTTTTTAGCATGCAAACCCTGATACATGAGGACATCCATAGACAGAGATACGTCCTCCTCAGTCTCTAAGATTTCATAGATCGCTTTAAAAGAAGGTCATCTACCTCATCAAGGGCCAACTTGTACCTGGAACCCCTGGAGGAGCCACCTCCTCCATCATCCTCCTCTGAGCCAGACCCTGCTTGAGAAGAGGCAAGGGACCCAGGATCCTCCTCTCTTTGGCTCAAAGCCTCTGATACTACAGTATTCGCAGACTGGGTCCAAGACCCTATCAGCGTCTGCATTCTATCTAGCAAGGATCGAATGACTGAAATGTAGTCATTATGTCATCCTTAATGGAGGTGAGAACCTTATGGCAGGCTTGACTCATCCTTAACCAGGCTATCCACACAATTGCGGCATAAGGGCTTTTCCAAAACTGAACCCAAATTTTGCCGCACAAACGGCACTTCCTTTTGGGGGCCTGATTCTGTGTTGTTTTGGACCTTAATCTACAATAGGCAGAAACAATACAGGAGACAATCAGCCCAGGCTCCCTATCCCACACACCACTGTGCTGGGGGAGAAACCAGAAGTGTGCCCCACCGTCACCTGGACTCAGAGACTGGGAAAGAAGATCACCCCCAGGAGTCAACAAGAGGGAACCTGCAAATCCCCAAGTCTACCTGAGAGGAGATGGTGCCTGAGGAACCTGGGTCCGCCTGCTGCAGGAGGCCAGCGCCCTCCATCATGTTCCTATGGTGTGGTAGCCGCAGCCTCTGCTGGGTCTCTTCACCCTGCACTGTTGCCTGCGCCATCTGCGGAGATCGGGACCACGAGTCTGCCTGTGTCTGCCGATGATGTCACCATGACCGGAACTTACGGTTTAACCAGCGGTAAGAACTGCTGATTCTTCCAGTCCCTACTGTCAGTGGTGCTGGATATCCTCGGTGGTCTTCCCCTTCTGAGGACTGGAAGGCAACAGGAGTGCAGCCTCACTCCTCTCTGAGATGGAGGGATCGTGCCGGGCAAGGAGGAGGTACACACCTAGATAGAAGCCTACCAGCACCACACTTGAAACTAGGGCTCCTACACAGGTTCCGAAAAGTGCAACCTATCCTTCCGGAGGAAACACGTGAAGAACACTGAAGAGGGAGGCCTGGAGGTCCGCTTTTTAAGGTTCTGGGCTTACGTGTTTCCTTTCCCGGAGGGAGGGGCTCAACGTTTCAAGGGGCTGTCCTGGAAGACATTTTGACAAACACGCATGCAGAAACGTATCCAGACTGCAGTTCTATGGTGTGAACCGGCCCTCACCCTAGGTTCACACCTAAGCATTTTCTGCAGTGTTTTACATTTTGCAGAAACGCAGTACAGTCCATGTAACATGATTTCCTATGGGACATGTTCCCAACTGTGCGTTTTCACCCGGTGCGTTTCTTGGAAAGGGTCAGGGACTTTGTTGAACACAAAAAAAATTGTGTTTTTGGTTCTACAGACTTCAATGGAAACGCTGCAGAAAAGCATGTATTGCGTTTTTGCTGCATTTTAAATCTGCCTAGAAAAAAAAAAAAAAAAAAAAAAAAAGGACAAAAAGGCAAAAACACATCAAAAATGCGTATAAAAAAGGCAAGTGCAAAAATGCAACGCAAAACCGGCTCAACCTGCATATGTGTGAACCTAGCCTTAGAACATATTTTTGAATTGAGATGATTCAGATGTTGCTAATTTCCAGTCAATGAAAGAACCCGCTATATAATGATTGCGATTTGATTTTCAAGTTTGTGATACCTGATGAAGGATCTGAACAGGCCTGAAACATTGTTTGTCAATGTTTGCTTGATGAGTTTTTAACTCTCTTAATAAAAATTTACAAGATGCTGCAGATCGGACTTTTTTTTTTGTTTTTATATACATACATACATACACTGCTCAAAAAAATTAAAGGAACACTTTGAAAACAGATCAGATCTCAATGGGGAAAAATATCATGCTGGATATCTATACTGATATGGACTGGGCAATGTTAGGAATGTAAGGATGCCCCATCATTTGAATTATCAACCTACAGAGAACTGAATTCAAAGATACCCTTAAAATGAAAGCAAAAACATGATGCAGCAGGCTAGTCTATTTTGCTGAAATTTCATTGCAGCAACTCAAAATGGTACTCAGTAGTTTGTATGGCTCCCACATCCCACTTGTATGCATGCCTGGAAAAGTTGGGGCATGCTCCTAATGAGACGACGGATAATGTCCTGGGGTATTTCCCATCATTGAGCTCCTGGACAGTCTGAAGTGCAACCTGGCGGCATCAGATGGACCGAAAAAATGATATACCAGAGGTGTTCTATTGGATTTAGGGCAGGTGAGCATGGGGGCCATTCAATGGTATCAATTCGTTCATCCTCCAGGAACTGCCTGCATACTCACCACATAAGGCTGGGCATTGTTGTGCACCAGAAGGAACCCAGGACCCACTGCACCAGCGTAGAGTCTGACAATGGGTCCAAGGATTTTATCCCGATACCTAATGGCAGTCAGGCTGCTATTGTCTAGCCCAGGGGTGGGCAAACTGTGGCCCTCCAGCTGTTGTGGAACTACAAGTCCCATCATGCCTCTGCGAGTCATGATGCAACTGTCAGCCTTTCCATGCCTTATGGGACATGTAGTTCCATGACAGCTGGAGGGCTGCAGTTGCCCACCACTGGTCTAGCCTGTAGAGGTCTATGTGTCCCTCCATGGATATGCCTCCCCAGACCATCACTGACCCACCACCAAAACGGTCATGCTTAATGATAATACAGGCAACATAACGTTCTCCACGGCTTCTCCAGACCTTTTCACATCTCTTACATGTGCTTAGGGTGAACTTGCTCTCATCTTTGAAAAGCACAGGGCGCCAGTGGTGGACCTGCCAATTCTGGTGTTTAATGGCATATGCCCTCAGGCCACCCTCATGTTTCTGATTGTTTGGTCAGAGTCATTCACACCAGTGGCCTGCTGTAGGTCATTTTCTGGGGCTCTGGCAGTGCTCATCTTGTTCCTCCTTACACAAAAGAACAGATACCGGTTCTGGTGATGGGTTAAGGACCTTCTACAGCCCTGTCCATCTCTCTCCTAGAGTAACTGCCTGTCTCATGGAATCTCCTCCATGCTCTTGAGACTGCGCTTAGAGACACAGCAAACGTTTTGGCAATGGCACATATTGATGTGCCATCCTGGAGGAGTTGGACTGCCTGTGCAAACTCTGCAGGGTCCAGGTATCACCTCATGCTACCAGTAGTGACACTGACCCTAGCCAAATACAAAACTAGTGAAAAACAGTCAGAAAAGATGAGTAGGGGAAAAACAGTCAGTGGCCTACACCTGTAAAACCATTCCTGTGGGGATCATCTTATTGTTGCCGATCTAGTGCACCTGTTAATGAAATTAACACCAAAAGCAACTGATTTGATTAACAACCCCCTCTGCTTCTTAACTGACCAGATCAATATCCCAGGAGTTTATTTGACTTGATGCTGTACTCTGAATAAAAAGTGTTCCTTTAATTTTTTTGAGCAACACACACACTTTTATATCCTGGCATGTAAGGAGGATTGTTTTCAAAGGAAAATCCAATACTAAGCTGCATATTATCTGTTATCATACTGCAACAGCCATGGGCTTTTCTATACCTAAATTCAGCAATTTAGGTGGCTGCAAAGGTGCTTGATCACTTCTATATGCCAAGAACGCTACAGCCTCCGCTGCTATCCAACACTTCCAGGTGTTTGGATACCTGGTTCCTCACCGCATTGCAATTCCCTTAACTAGCCACATATCACTGCAGGACCCAGTAATAATACAAGCATTTGCGAGAGGCTCCACAGCGTATGGAGGGGGGATGATCGCCAACACAGTCAGAAGTGTCAGCAATGGTTGCCATAGCTCTGGGACTGGAAGATTTGGAGTGAATATTAGAGACACCACCCACTGGCCACAGAGTTGCTTTGAAGGAAAAGCTCAATAAATGCACGTTTTTTTTTTCAGAAAAAAAAATAAATTTTGCATTTTTTTTGTTCCACAGGAGCTTGCAAAGCATGGCACCCATGTTCAGTGAATGGAAGTATGGGGGGGCATTTGGCTTAGCAACACGGTACACCCCAAATACAGGTGTAACATGTACAATACAAAAAGGTGTAGGCACAAAACCAAAGTAATGGAAATGCAGGTGTTTCCCTAGCCAGCACCTCCCGGTTTCTCTGATTAGCTTTAATACAAGCCCACTGGAAGAAAACACAGTCTTGAAGTTCTAATTCAAAGCAGACAAGATATAACTCACCATTCTAAAGCACTGTAGGCTCCTGTTGCAGATCCAGGGTTAATATAAAACTTGTTTTCATGCTCAAAAGCTTCAAATTTATGTGTATGTCCAGAAACCATTATGTCTACTCAAGTTGCCGTTGCAAGAGTGCCAGACTAGCCATATCACCCCAAGGAATGACCTGGTGGCCATGTATTAAGCCAATTTTGAACTGCCCAACAGTCACCACTTTTTGTTCTGGATAGTTTAGGTTCTATGGAAAGAAAAAAAAAAGGAAAGAGGCAGATTAAAGAACTCCAACTAAAAAAAATCTGCAGCTAAAATTACAAATAGCAGGCTGTATTTAGGGGGCAAGTCCCAAATCAAAGCAAGGGAAAAATGTAGCGTGCATTTAAGGGAACTAATCACCAGTTGCAGGGGTGGAGGAGTTGTTCAAAGCTGTAGATCACTAAACAGCCCCTCTCTGAGGCTGGAGAGGGTCTGCTGCCTATCAATGGATCTTTAGTTGTTGCTTTGTGCTACACACTAGTCTCTTAAAACCAGTTAGATCCCCTTTACCCCAATCACAGATTTACTATTCAGGGCATGTTGGGCAATATCAAATAATATATTTTTTGTAAAATCTTTTTGCATTGTGCATTTATTATTTTTTTTTTACCAACAGCCTGCAAAGCATTGCACCTGTGATCAACAGATCGCAGGTGCAATCTCAGACTCCTGCAAACTGTCAGTGTCATTCAGTATTACTGCATGACAGGAAGGATCAATGAGAACTACAGCTTTTAGCACTTTTAGTTCTCCCATTTACAGAACTCTGGGAATGAATGACACAGCCGGGTAGGGGAGCCTGGTGCGGCCACTTTTTTTTTTTAAATTGTGACAGCAGGTGCGGAGACAAGATCCCTGGCTCGCTGTCACAATGGGGGGATCAAGGGGCTGCTGCAACAGTAACATGTTACATCTTGAATATGGGTGTAACATGTAACAGACGGTGAACTTATCCTTCAAGTTATCGCTATCAATCTCAGCTTTATAGGTGAAGATGCATAGAAAATTGTATGAGAATTATCCAACTACAATTCTCTGCATTCCACACATAAGGAGATATACAATGCAATCTCATCCTATGTTAAAAAGCCTTACAGTTCTGTACCCTAATGCATTCTCTGCATTAAGGTAAAAAGACCTTCTTTTGCAGATGATTCCACCCCAACTCCCCTTATACTTATACTATAATCCCCCTCCCCCACGTTGCTCTTCGTGCCTGACAGCAGCGTCTCTCTCCCTCCTCACAGGGCACATTGATAGCAGTGAGAGCCATTGGCTCCTGCTGCTGTCAAATTCTGTAACGAGTGGGGGGTGGTAGAATGAGCCCGCACGAGTTCCCCCGAAGGGAGAAGCTTCCCATGGGGGCACTCGCAGAAGAGGATCCAGAAGAGCCTGCAGGGGACCCCAGAAGCAGACAATTGGTGCTGTTCTGTGCAAAACCATTGCACAGAGCAGGTAAGTCAAACATATTAGTAAAAAAACAAAAAAAAAACCCCACAATGGTTTACAATCACTTTAATGTTAGTCAAACATGTGTAAACAGAATTGTCGGTAAGTGATAATGAGAACCTCATCAAAGTCTCCTCTGACGATGTGAACATCCCCGGCCAGTGTCTTGAGGTAGTCATAGCTCTCCTTGGTACAGAGATTCCCAGTGCATAAAATATGCTGGATCTTGCCAGGCACAAGTAATTTTTTGAATTTTGCTGGCAAACTATTGCACCGATGTGGGATATGTAGATCTCCTAACACCAAGACCAACTACAGAGGTTAAAAAGAAATCACAATAATCAGAAACAATACATAGAAAAAAATGCAAGATATTTATAGACAATTACAATTAAACTGTTACCACTACGAAGTTAACAAAAACATAAAAATGTGAAATTTGTGGAACACAGTCAGCATGCACATTAAAGATAATCTACATTGAAAATAAGGCCCCTACTAAATCCTGTGATGTGTAGTAGGCACCCTCAGATGCCTTTACTTACCTTCTCTAGTCCTATCTACTTCCCAGATTCTCGCTGCAGCCCCTGCAAGGTCCCATGCATTCTGTTAGGCAACGTGGACAAACCCTTATATAATACTGGGTAAAATACAATTTGAATATCTCTACAATATTAACATTTACTACAAAACAACAATCAATGCAACCAACGGAGACAAACTGCCAGAATTGACAGATGACCACATAAAATGTTAGACTTTTACAATTCCAAGGCGCAAACCAGTCAATGGAAAAACAATGAAAAGTGTCAAATAATATCGCTCATGGAGTGGAAGCATCTTTATAATTTACTAATACATTTCAAGAAGCCAGTCACATAATATTGTTTATCAGTAAGTTCATGAAATAAATAATAAAAACAGGTGACCATTTTATCATTTCAGCCACATACTGAATTAAGTTTATGTTTGTATTAATAGACCTTTTAGATCAATGCCTTGAAAGTCATATCAAGTCTCCATGGGAAAATTTGATACAGATTTTTTTCCACCCTAGACATGCAAATTAGTCACGACAGACACAAAACAGCAATCAATTAGTTTTTCAAAGCAGTAAAAAAAAAAAAAAAAAAAAACCCAAACATATGAAATGAAATCTGGATGAGAAGAGATTTAATGATGTACCTACTATGGTTTGCCTGCAGTTAACCATGAACCAGTTTGGTACATATAAAGTTGCTCTAACAAGGATGAGGCATTAGACTTAGAACAGTATCTTTTGCTTTTTTTTTTCTAGTGGAAAGCGATTGGCTACAAAGGGCTTTGGAAACTGAATGTGAGTTTTATTAGATGGCTGAGTTTTGATAGGAAATGATTTGTTGTATAGATGGAAAGATACATAGGAGTCCAATCACACCCCAGGAGTGTTAGTGCACGATTAGAGGTAAACTTACTCTGTGCCCAGGCTTATGGAGGAGTTGATTGCAGACAAGGGAGTATGAAAGGGTGAAACATGAGCGATGTTAAATAAAAGAAAGCAAAAGAAAATGGGTGACAAATTAGGAAAATGAATACAAAAAAAAAAAAAAATTAAAAATAATAAATGATTTAGAATGTTAAGAAAGAATATGATTCAAGAGGTTTTTCTTTAAAAGCAGAAAAAAAGAAGATCTGATGAATACTGTGGATATACTGACAGCACTTTGCCATATCTATAAAACTACGTTCTTCATGATGAAGTGAAAGCTCATAAGAGAATAGAATTAATCATTATGGTCATAAAAAGAACACATTCAGGACATATTATAATATAGGTATACTACAGTTAATGCATTCAATGTAAAGCAAATGAAATGGGAGCTATTGTATATTTTTCTTTCACTGGTAAAAACAGCAAAGGCAACATGTGAGTCTGTTATGAAATGTAAACTTTATCTCCGATGTATGGAATCTGTATTATATGTAAATATATTATGGAGATATGTCAGCCAGACCTGGGTGGCACATTCAGTCAAGCTGTTTACATACAGTGCAGCAAGCCTATGTCTCCCAGCAAAGTTGTAACTGTTGAAAACGGTCCTGGGAAGGTCCCTCAATTTTTAATTGCTGGCCGAGCCAGATGTGTGAATGCCTTCAATTCATCTATTAGCCCGGTTCACATATATGCAGCTGTGCGGGCCACGTTTTGCGTGGGCATGAGAGCCCATTCATTTGAATGGGCTCCCATGCCGTGACACGCAGGAAAGAAGTCCCTGCACTTCCGAAAATGCAGCCCGCACGGGAACCTCAGTTCCCAGTACGGTTGCGTTTTCCAGTGCTGGCGGTGCGCCCATTAGAACTAATGGCACACACTCGTGGGTCCGCATTTCTCTGTGCAGGTGGTGCGGTTGCACAAATTTTCGTGTGGCTCCGCAGCGGCACCACCCGCACAGATGTGAACCTAGTCTTAGGCCCGGTTCACACTTTGTGTGGGCATGGCAGTCCGTTCATATAAATAGGGTGCTGAGCTTGTGTTTCATGTAAGGAAAAGGTGCATGCACAGTTTCCAAAATGTATCTGCAGAGAGATCCTGTGCGATTCCTGCATCCGTGATCACACTGTGGGATGAGATATGTGTCAGTTCTATTCATTCTTCTTGCAAGAGAAACGCGATGCTGCTGTGGGTGGTTGCGGGAATGGGTGGGATTCCTGACCCCGCAACCAGCCCGCACTGTGGGGGGCTAGCGTGAGCTACAGATTGATATCTGTTTTTGTCCTCACTTTCTGTCTCAGTGACAAGGTTCAACAGAAAAAACAGATGATGAATCTCCTCAGCTGGGACACAGGCCGTAATTAAAACCCGAAAGAGGTTCAACGTTTTCCCCACTCTATCCAAAGATGATTTTATTTTATTTATTTATTTTTTTTTACACACTAGGCTGATTGAAAGTAATCTTTGTGGGAAGACCCTCATGAGTCAGGCTTAGCCCAAGAGTGAAGACCAGTAGGGCTTCCCATAGAGATACAAAAGCTACCAATGTGGACTTTTATTTTAAATGCGCAAACTCCATGTTGTCATCCTTTTCCAAAACAAGTATGCAGGAAGGAGTCTTAACTTTACCAGCTTACCTAACAGAGAAGTAAACATAAAGATGACAGATCTTACACATTTCAGAATATGTCAAACTGACTGAAACCCCCCTTCTTTCATCACTATTGTAATGGGGAGCTGAAAACAAGATCGTGTACTGGGCATCAGTTACAGCTCAGTGACGTACATCACCAGGCATTGGTTAGGGCTCAGTGACGTACATCACCGGGTATTGGTTAGGGCTCAGTGACGTACATCACCGGGCATTGGTTAGGGCTCAGCGACGTACATCACCGGGCATTGGTTAGGGCTCAGTGACGTACATCAACGGCACTGGTTAGGGCTCAGTGACATACATTACTGGGTATTGGTTAGGGCTCAGTGATGTATATCAACGGGCATTGGTTAGGGCTCAGTGATGTATATCAACGGGCATTGGTTAGGGCTCAGTGATGTACATCAACGGGCATTGGTTAGGGCTCAGTGACGTACATCAACGGGCATTGGTTAGGGCTCAGTGACGTACATCACGGGCATTGGTTAGGGCTCAGTGACGTACATCACCGGGCATTGGTTAGGGCTCAGTGACGTACATCACCGGGCATTGGTTAGGGCTCAGTGACGTACATCACCGGGCATTGGTTAGGGCTCAGTGACGTACATCACCGGGCATTGGTTAGGGCTCAGTGACGTACATCACCGGGCATTGGTTAGGGCTCAGTGACGTACATCACCGGGCATTGGTTAGGGCTCAGTGATGTACATCACCGGGCATTGGTTAGGGCTCAGCGACGTACATCACTGGGCATTGGTTAGGGATCAGTGATGTACATCAACGGCACTAGTTAGGGCTCAGTGACATACATTACTGGGTATTGGTTAGGGCTCAGTGATGTACTGATTATTGTACATTACCAAATATTATTTAGCGCTCAGCACTGTACACTACCTGTTATTGTGTTAGTGCTCAGCACTGTACATAACTGGGTAGTGGTTAGAGATCAGGGTTGTACATAACTGGGTACTGGTTAGAGATCAGGGTTGTACATAACTGGGTAGTGGTTAGAGATCAGGGTTGTACATAACTGGGTAGTGGTTAGAGATCAGGGTTGTACATAACTGGGTAGTGGTTAGAGATCAGGGTTGTACATAACTGGGTAGTGGTTAGAGATCAGGGTTGTACATAACTGGGTAGTGGTTAGAGATCAGGGTTGTACATAACTGGGTAGTGGTTAGAGATCAGGGTTGTACATAACTGGGTAGTGGTTAGAGATCAGGGTTGTACATAACTGGGTAGTGGTTAGAGATCAGGGTTGTACATAACTGGGTAGTGGTTAGAGATCAGGGTTGTACATAACTGGGTAGTGGTTAGAGATCAGGGTTGTACATAACTGGGTAGTGGTTAGAGATCAGGGTTGTACATAACTGGGTAGTGGTTAGAGATCAGGGTTGTACATAACTGGGTACTGGTTAGAGATCAGGGTTGTACATAACTGGGTACTGGTTAGAGATCAGGGATGTACATAACTGGGTACTGGTTAGAGATCAGGGATGTACATAACTGGGTACTGGTTAGCATCAGTGCTGTTGATTGCTGGGTATGGGTTCTGGTACACTTGCACTGCCTATTCCATCTGGTAGTTCTGAAGCACCCAGTAAAGATCCCATTTCACCCAAACCAATTACAGATTAAAGCAGGACTCTGGGATTAAAAAAAAAAAAAAAAAACTACAGTTTCCACCCCCTCCGTGGACCGCAAGGGTTAGATGCTTGCTAAATCTATGTCGAGGAAGAGGCTGTGATGATCTGTCATTCGTTCTGAGCTGTCAGCGCCTTCATATTTATTGCAGGACCACTGGCGTTTTAGAACGATGCGACCACTACATTTCCAGTTAACGTGTGAAAAGCGCATGTTTTTACACACATTTGCAAAACATATGAGAAAAAAAATGGTGTATGTGTATGTATGAATGTGAGTTAGGGACCTTAGATTGTACGCCCCTTGAGGGTTAGGGACTGATGTGAATGTACAATATATATATGTAAAGTGCTGCGCAGATTGACGGCGCTATATAGTACCTGAAATAAATAAAAGGTGCACCTTGCTAGCAGAGCCACACAGTGAACGCGGCCAGCAGTATTATTGCGTGCACCAAAATAAAATAAAAAAACCAACATGCAAAGCTCAACGCCCAAAAAGGCGCAGGAGCTTCTTTGGGGTATTTATCGCATAGTGAAAACA